GACATGTGGACAGTTCTGGGTTGTCTCCTCTTGGTACTAGGGGTGTGAGCTCCTCTTCAGGGTATCTGGCAGGCAGGGACTAACCTTTTCTGTGCCTTTTCTGTCTCCTTATGACAAATCCATTCATTCATTCTGCAAACATCAGGGAGCCCATTATACGTGTGGCCCTGTACTAGGCACTAGGATACAGCAGTGAACCAGACACCCAAGGTCTCCCTGTCCTTGTAGGGCTTATGTTCTACTCTGGGGAGACACAGTAGCCAAGTAAACACATTAGTGGATGAGATCAGTTTGGAGAGTGCTGTGTGATGTAGCAAAGACAAAAGAACAGGGTGAAGGAACAGCAGACCACTGGGGATGGGGTGGGTAACTGCTTCAGGGTGGGAGCCTAGGGAGGCCTCTCCAAAAAGCAGACCCCTAAGAAGTCAGCCACATAAAGATCCAAGGCATTGGGCCAGCAGGTAGGCATGGTAGTTAAGGTGCTGGATTCCATATGGCTGACTGCTCGGTTTGAGACCCAGACCCAGTAGCTTGAAAAACACACCATTGGGACCACCAGTTGGTACAGTGGCTATGTTGCTGGACTCCCATGTAGTCGACCACAGTTCATGTCCCAGACCCAGTGGCTTATCACGCCGGATACGTGTTCATGCATGGCCATCCTCCCTGGGAGGTGATTTCTCGCTTTCTGTCTCTCTGTCTCTCTCTGTCTTCCTGGAGAGCACACGTGACCTATAGCAAAAAAACTCTCAAAAAAATAAAAAAAACACGCCAGGTATGTGTACATGCACGCCCACAACCCTGAGAAGAAAAATGGAGGAGAAGGGATTACAGCATGGCTATCCTCCCATGGAGGGTGATTTCTCACTCTCTGAATTCCTGTCTTCAGGGAGCACACACTCCCTATGACAAAATTCCAAAGGAAAAAATTAAAATCTGAGGGATTTTTTTTTTTCTTTGAGATGTTTTTGCTATTGGGTGCATATGCTCACCAGAAAGACAGAGAGAGAGACAGAGAGACAGAAAGTGAGAAATAACCCCCCAGGGGGGATGGCCATGCCACAATCCCTTCTCCTCCATTCTCCTCTCAGGATCTTGGGCATGCACGCACACGCGCCCGGCGTGAGTTTAAGCCACCGGTTCCAGGACTCAAACCGTGGTCAACTACATCCAGGAGTCCAGCGACATAGCCATTACGCCAACTGCCGTTCCCAAGATCTGAGGGATCTTCTAGCACCGGCTACAGAGTAGGGCTCACATGATAAAGCCCAGGAGTAAGGGGATCCCAAGTGAAGGCACACATAGTCCCCACCCTCCCCGTCTCCAGGTTTCATAGGGAAGGGGATGCTGACGGGGGTCATCGCGGGAGCCGTGTTTACCTCCCCGGCCGTGGGCAGCATCCTGGCGGCCATCAGGGCAGTGGCCCAGGCAGGCACAGGTAAGGCTGGTGTCGGGAGAGACCACTGCAGGGAGGGCACATGGGACACTGTGAGGCACTGACTGGGCCTGCCTGCCACTCCTGCAGTGGGGACCCTCCTCATCGTGAAGAACTACACCGGAGATCGGCTCAACTTTGGCCTGGCCCGGGAGCAGGCCCGGGCTGAGGGCATCCCGGTGGAAATGGTGGTCATTGGGGATGACAGTGCCTTCACCGTGCTGAAGAAGGCGGGCCGGCGGGGACTCTGCGGCACGGTCCTCATACACAAGGTATGCTTCCACCCAACGCCGAGGCCGGCTGCCTCTCCCAGCCTTCTCTCTGGGTGGCACCCGGTAGCCAGACCCTTCTAGCTACTCTGTCCCTCCCCCAAGAAGCCACTCCTGCCCTATGCTCCCTGATCCAGGAAGGCCCCACCACCATCTCAGTTCCTTAAGCACAGGGTGCTCCCTGCACCCGTCTCCTCCTCCTCCCACACTTAGCAGTTGCTCTGCCCTGACGCCCGCTCCCAGGAGCCTGCACAGCCCCCATACCCGCTGGACGTGGCCCTTCCTGCCCAGGTGGCTGCAGCCATCTCCTGGCTGGGCCTCCTGCCTCGCCAGTCCTCACACTGCTGCCTGAGGTGTCATTTAAGAATGTGGGTCTGGGGACCAGCAGTGGGCGTAATGGCTGTCGCTGGACTCCCATGTAGTCAACCACAGTTTGAGGGCCGGACCCGGTGGCTTAAACTCATGTTGGGCACATGTGCGTGCGTGCCCAAGATCCTGAGAGGAGAATGGAGAAGGGATTGCAGCGTGGCCATTCACCTGGGGTGTGATTTCTCACTTTCTGTCTCTCTGTCTGTCTCTTTCTTTCTGGCGAGTGCACGTACCCTATAGCAAAAACCTCTCAAAAAAAAAGACTGTGTGTCTGACTAGGCTGTTTGTCCACTACAGCCCTCTTGGGTCCCTAGAATCAGCCCAAGCTCCTTGCTCAGGGACCCACTGCACTCTTGCCCTGCCTCCCATCACCCCGACCCTCCTCTTATGCTCCATTGACACCAGGCCCCCAGACCTAGGATGCTGAGCCTCCTCTCTGACTTTGCTGACCCTGTATCTATAGCCTGTCAAATCCTCTGCCTCCTTTTGGCCTGGCTAAATCCTACCGTTCTGTGGATCTCTAATGTCTCCCCTCCTGAGAGGCTCTCCCCGATCTCCCCACTATCCCAAGCTAGCCAGGAACCCCCCTCAGTGCCCCATAACATCCTGCTGTGGGTTTTCCAGTTGCATTTTCCACCCCGCATTAGATTTCAGTCTCTGTGTGTTCGTTTCCCCCAGCTGTGAGTCCCTTGAAGGCAGGGACTGTGACTTAGGCATCTTTTCTTCCTTTTCAGCACAGACTAGATGCTTGGTAAAAACTGGTCGGGTGGGGACCAGCAGTTGGCGTAATGGCTATGTCGCTGGACTCCCATGTAGTCGACTGCAATTCAAGTCCTGGACCTGGTGGCTTAAACTCACACTGGGCACATGTGCGTGCATGCCCAGGATCCCTAAAGGAGAATGGAGGAGAGGGGATTGCGGCGTGGCCATCCCCCCTCAGGGGTGATTTCTTGCTTCCTGTCTCTCTCTGTCTTTGCGCTCTAGATTAGGAATCAGAAAACTGGCCACCAACTTGCTGTGTGACTTTGAGTAAGATATCACCCCTCTCTGGGCCCCTCGCCCCATTTGTGAAGTCCCTTCTGACTAACAGACTGGAAACTCAGAGACCCCTGACGGGCACACTGCGAATGAGGGGAGTACAGTGTTCCGCCCCGCGTGCCACGGGCCAGGCTGAAACCTTAGCGAATCTCCCTTCCCAACCACAGCCCATCTTCTCTGTCCTCGGGGTACAGTGAGGCTTTCCCCCTCGGGGGCTTCTCTCTGTGGGGCTGCAGGTGGCAGGCGCCCTGGCTGAGGCAGGTGTGGGGCTGGAGGAGATCACGAAGCAGGTGACCGCGGTTGCCAAGGCCATGGGTGAGTGCCTGCCAGGGACTGGGGTGTGGAGACAGGAGGCTGCGACAGACCTTGGGACTGGGGGTGGTTCCCGCAACCCTGCGGTTACTCCCTAGGGGCCAGGGATGGTCTCTCTGAGGGGAGCTCCTGGAAAACCTTTCCTCCCCGAGAGGATGAGTGCGGCAGCCTTCCTCAGAGAAGAGGGTGGTGTGGGCAGGGCCGCCGAGGCATTGCCGCTGCCTTCCTGACGCCCGATGCCAGTAGAGAGCATTCAGTCATCCCCTCCATGCCTCCTCTCTCACAGGCACCCTGGGCGTGAGCCTCTCCTCCTGTAGCGTGCCAGGTTCCAAACCCACTTTTGAGCTCTCAGCGGATGAGGTAGAACTGGGCCTAGGTAAGCTTCCAGCTACCCCCATCCCTACCATACCCGTTCCCACCTTGGGTTTTACCCGCCTCGTATGCCCTGGGAGCCATCTGCCTGGTCCTCTGTGCTCCGGTGGGCAGCTGAGGCCCAGCCTGGCCCACCCTGCCTGATTTCTTCCTGCTTGGCCGTGCACACCCAGGGCTCTGGCCACCCTGGGCCTTTGCTCATACCGTTCCCTGGCCTCCTGCCCCTGAACGCAGTTCTTGTTTCAGATGCCCTTCGAAAGGCCAAAAAGCTGTAAAACCCTTCCCACCCTCTGCTTCCCAAGCGACGGGTATCTGCCTCCTGAGGGTGGCCTCGTTGTATCTGCCTCTGGTTGAGGCTGTTTTGGTTCCTGGCTGTTCCCACCACTGGGCCATGAGCTTCCAGACAGCAGAGATGATATTTCTCATGCCTGTTCATTTCCACCCACGGCCCACACCCACAGCGCCCATGTAGCGCTGAGCACTTAGTAAGTCCTTGATGGAAACAATGCGCGAGCCCTAGGCCCTGAGCGGGTCGGCAGTGAGCGTATCTATCCTGCAGGAATCCACGGGGAAGCCGGCGTGCGCCGGATAAAGGTAAGTGGACTCCCCGGCCCAGACCAGCCTAAGGCCAAGGCACCCCAGATGCAACTCACTCCTGGCTTCCCGACAGATGGCAACCGCCGATGAGATCGTGAAACTCATGCTCGACCACATGACCAGTGCCTCCAGTGCATCCCACGTGCCCGTGAAGCCAGGTGATGGCCCGCGTTCTCCCGTCTCCCAGTCCTGCCGACCCCACAGGGCGGGGACTGCCGGAGCGCCTCAACTAGAGTACCGCCTCTACCCACAGGCTCGTCAGTAGTGCTGATGGTCAACAACCTGGGCGGCCTGTCGTTCCTGGAACTCGGCATCATCGCTGACGCGGCCGTCCGCTCTCTGGGTGAGCCCTCCCATGCTGGACATGAGCACAGCTCGTGCTGGCCCAGGACATGCGCTGCGCAGTCGGACAAGCCCACGTTAGGTCGCCACTCTGCACTGAATTGCTGGGTGCCTCACACCTGCTTCAGTGTCCGTAAATCGTGGGTAATCACACTAGTCCCCGCCTTCTAGGGTTGTTGTGAGAACTCGGTGAGATCGAGCATAGCTCAGACACTTAGCACAGTACCTGGCACCATCTGCTTCTAAAGAGGGGACACCTCCAGGGAATGTGGTCACTTGGGTGTCATTGAAATCGGACCAGCTTCCTACTGACCCCAGGGCCCCGGTGTCCAAGGGCCTTTTTTCCCTATTATTCGTTTCCCTGATGCTTGGGGCAGAGGTGGGGTGGAGGGAGTGCCCATCCTTCCCTCACGGACTTCCATGATCCGGTTTGCAGAGGGCCGCAAGGTGAAGATCGCCCGTGCCCTAGTGGGCACCTTCATGTCAGCACTGGAGATGCCTGGTGTTTCTCTCACCCTCCTGCTGGTGGATGAGCCCCTCCTGAAGCTGATAGGTGAGACCCACAACCTGGCATCCAAGCTGGAACTTTTCTTTTTCTTTTTCTTTTTTTTTTTTTTTTTTTTGAGCGGGGGGCTCTCCAGCAAGAG